TACACACAGCTCCCTCCTTCAGCCACACCTCTCTCCTCCCCCCGTAACTTATCGGAACATCCGCGCTCCCATTCCCTCCTCTCATCCCCATCACCTCATTCTCAGCTACCAATCACATATCGTCACATCTCGGACCGTGCCTCCTCATCTCCCGTCACTAAGGGGCCGTCCATAAATGACGTCACGCGATTTTAAACGATTTTAACGCCCCCCCCCCTCGTCACACGGCGTCACAAAAAGTCAGACCACCCCTCAAATATGACGTCACAAAGCTCTGCCCCCCCCCCCCCACAAATAAAACATGCTTCAAATCGCTTTAAACTATTGTCATTGTAGTGCGTATTTAATGTGGCGCTGCACTCTGATGTTGTAGGAGTGTTGTTATAACAATTAGTGTTGTTAAAACAATTCTATATCTATTTAAAGTTGCGCATTTTGATGTGACGTCACATTTCTCAAACCCCCCCCCCCCCTCGTCACACATCATCACAAATGTCTCACCCCCCCCCCCCCATGTGCGTGACGTCATTTATGGACGGCCTCTAATCACAGATGGTAAATACCGCGGGGTTACTCCCGGTCAAGTAGGTGCAGGGATTGTCGCCAGTGTGTACGGGGTAGGGAATGATGATGTCGTGGGAGACGCGATGGAGGACCATTACATCATAACAGTGATAGCACAATCATAATTAACTCACTTTTTTTCCCCGTCCAGGGACGGGTGTATATTGCAGTAAATCTCAAATATTAAATAGAAAAATTGTTCAGCTCATGATTATTAATAGTGGGGGTTGCCCCAATGTGGAGTGACGTCACCCGCTAATGGTTATTGGGGAGGGGTGCGGCATGTGGAGTGACGTCACCCGCTCATGATTATTAATGATGGGGGTTGCCCCAATGTGGAGTGACGTCACCCGCTAATGGTTATTGGGGAGGGGTGCGGCATGTGGAGTGACGTCACCCGCTGATGGTTATTGGGGAGGGGTGCGGCATGTGGAGTGACGTCACCCGCTCATGATTATTAATGAGCGGAGGGGTGCGGCATGTGGAGTGACGTCACCGGCTGATGGTTATTGGGGAGGGGTGCGGCATGTGGAGTGACGTCACCCGCTCATGATTATTAATGAGCGGAGGGGTGCGGCATGTGGAGTGACGTCACCCGCTAATGGTTATTGGGGAGGGGTGCGGCATGTGGAGTGACGTCACCCGCTCATGGCTATTAATGAGGGGAGGGGTGCGGCATGTGGAGTGACGTCACCCGCTCATGATTATTAATGAGGGGAGGGGTGCGGCATGTGGAGTGCGCAACCTTCTTGTGCGTGAGTGTAAATTTCCACGCGGACATGAATATTCATGAAGGGGGGGGGGGGCTCTTTTACAGTGACGTCACGCATGGATGTAGCACTGTGCTGCGTACATTTATTTTGTACCGTCACTTTCTGTAAAGAAACGTCACATTTGAAGCGACTTTGCGTAATAAATTATTTAATTCAGCTCGACCTTCCTCTGCGTTAGTGTACAAATCCACCCACTCATGAATATTAATGAGGGGGGTGGGCCTCATGTGGAGTGACGTCACGCGCGGGACGGACAGACATTTCTGCATTGACATGCTAATCTCTCACAATACAATAGCCACTTCCACAGCCTCAGGCACCCATCTCAGGCCTATATAAGACCTTGTTTCAGTAGCTTTCTCTCTCTCACTTGAAGACGGTCGCTTGTGTTGCGATCGAAACGTCGTGATCTATTAATTTTCTATCTACGTGACTTTACCGAAAGAACCGAAGAGTATAGTAGGTAACTCGAGGAGCGGGGGGGGGATAATACTAAAACAACGAGTTTAACATCCCGTCGTAGATTGACGTAGGCCTTCATCCCTTCAGGCTTAATAAGGCCTATTAATTGAGGTCTACTTGAGTAGGGAGACATCAACTATTCCACCAGAATTGAGCTGGACACAATTGATACTGGACATCTGTGAAAAGTTTCATAGCTCATCGGATTCCTCCAGTCTAACCGTGGTGTTGGCCAAGATGTCCATCACCACCACCAGTCCAATATTGATGCGCTGTATTGATGCATACATTACATTGGCATTACTTGTATTTTATTAGGATGAGTGTTATCGTCATTTACATATTTGAATTAGTCATTAGAGTGACAGACGTTCGTAATTATTGAAGGCGGATTGGAAGAAATATATAATCTGCAAACATTTCGATTTAAAGCTTTCGTGACTGCAGGGATTCATCTTCTTGGTTCTTTCGGTAAAGTCACGTAGAAGGGAAGTAATAAAATAATAAAAATAAAACACAATAAAATAATTCTCACGACGTTTCGGCCAGAACGCAAGCGGCTGTGGCCGAAACGTCTTGAGAATTATTTTATTATGTTTTATTTTTATTATTTTTATTACTTCCCTTCTACGTGACTTTACCGAAAGAACCAAGAAGATGAATCTGCAAACAATGAGGTGAAACCACGTGAGCTCATTCAATCTCTAAATCATCATAAGAAGCTATCATAACAGAATCATAGTGCAGACTGCAAACTCAAATATGGATCGGTGTATATTGGTTACGAACCCCCACGTGCACTAGTTAATGCGGTAAGGGGCCGTCCATAAATGACGTCACGCGATTTTTGACCCCCCCCCCTTCATCACACGACGTCACAAAAAGTCAGACCCCCCCCTCAAATATGACGTCACAAAGCTCTGCCCCCCCCCCAAAAAAAAACATGCTTCAAATCGCTTTGAACTATTGTGATTGTAGTGCGTGTTTAATGTGGCGCTACACTGATGTTGTAGGAGAAAACATTTATTAAAAAAAGTCTATTTAATTAAGTAGAACGTGTTGTCTATATTTAAAGTTGCGCATTTTGATGTGACGTCACATTTCTAAAACCTCACCCCCTCGTCACACATCGTCACAAATGTCTGACCCCCCCCCCTAGGTGCGTGACGTCATTTATGGACGGCCCCGAACACCGTTTTTGTGAGCGCCGCTCCTACGACGCCCTCTAGCGACTGCTCCACCTCATCCGAACTCCCTGTTCCGTAGAACATCGTCTGCTGTCTTTAAAATATTAAAGCCCACACGGCCTGTAACAATTCCTATGCAAATGAATACCAGTGTACGTGAGTGTACGAGACATGAACATTGATCGCATGAGTTTTAGTCTGTGCTTCTTGAGTTCAGAGTTGGCTTTGATTCATATAAAGTAATACAAGCATTGAGATCACAACACCTTTACCTAAAACCTTTACATGTGACTCACATCTCGCATCCCCAGTAGCGTTTTGTTCGTGTCCTGGCATCCCAGTAAACGTGAAACTTTGGGCCAACTTTGGCCCAACATTGCATGTTTACTGGGATATCTGCTTAAATTCGCTTTACATGAAAAACAAACTTTTATGGCTGGCGCGCCACCATAGTACCCCAGTGACATCACTGTTGACATTTAACGTGTGGCAACGTGTTATTGATAAATGTTGAGGGGTAATTGTTTATTTGTCGGGCAGCCTGTACCAAAGAGACAACAATTTTTTTTATTTTACCAGGTAAGGCCCACTGAGCTATGTAGATCTTTTTCAAAAACGACCTGGCTATCTAAAATGATAGATCAGCGAAGTGGCTTATCATGTTTAAATTTATATCAGTCAAATACTCTAAACTTACGTTGCTAAATGTGGAGGGTAAACCCAGAGGACCCAGAGAAAAATCCACGCGACCATGGGGAGAGAGACACGCAAACTCCAAGTATACAGCAGGCGTTCGAGTCAGGATCGAACCCACGACCTCCTGTATACCAGGCGAGGGAGTTAACATCTCCTAGCCACCGTGGCCCCCGTTAGCCCAGGGGCTGTACAGTTTATAGCTGCAGGACAAGTTGCGATGTGTTGTGTACAGCGGAATATCGTTTGTCAAGCATAATATTCTGAATATTATGCTCGAATTTTAAGTTATCATATTCAAGCAAAACAACTTGTAAACCCAATGGTCGCGCCCTTTGCGTGTGGATAATCTGAAATTAGTCGTAAAAAAACGACTTAAGTTTACACAATGTCCACTTTTGTCAACCCATTGCTGTACGAGGGCCTACCCGCAAGGTCCGGGTCGTTGGGGCAGCCGGGGTTTAATTGACCAAACTTCCCAATCTCTTACAACAAATTATTTGGATCAGGTAATTGGTTTTTAACCCTTTTATCTGGCAACAAAACTGACACCTTTTTTTACAAGGAGTCATGTTTGCATTGACCACAATACCTGCAATCGGAATGCAAACAAAAAACATAACTCTGATAATGTATGCACTGTCCTTGAAATTGATTGGTCCACACCCGAGACAGCTTTCCTTAGAGCCTAGTCTCACATGATGTTTGACCAAATGACGCCAAAAGGCGTACAACTCAAAGACAATGCACCATCAGAGTATGAGAGCTCGGGTTAAGCATTTACACAATTGGAACCTCCTTGCCAGTAGCAAAATATTATAATTGTTTTTTTACCCTTTTATCTGGCAACAAAACTGACACCTTTTTTTACAAGGAGTCATGTTTGCATTGACCACAATACATGCAGTCGGAATGCAAACAAAAAAAGGTGTCATTTTGTTGCCAGACAAAAGGGTAAAAAACAATTATCAAATTTTGCTACTGGCAAAGGAGGTTCCAATGGAATCTGGATCAGATCAAGAACCCCGCTGCACTCTCATCAACTCCAGCTTCCATCGGAGTGCTGTTTGTGCCTGGCCGCTGCACGTGTTAGGCCTCTCTCTCTACTCAGCAACTGTTTTCACACAAACAATACAGACATAAACCATTATAATACATTTACACTTTTAAGTTTAGCTGTGCATTGTGAATACGAAGTACATGAGTATATATATTTACATGCTATAACACAATAAGCCATAGATCGGGTGGGGTCGTGGTTCAAGCGCGGGGTCAGAGGTCGGCAGGAAGCGCGCGGGGTCAGAGGTCGGCAGGAAGCGCGCGGGGTCAGAGGTCGGCAGGAAGCGCGCGGTGCTGGCGGCGATGGCAGCAACGCGGCCTCGATCCGCTGCTGCCCTTCGCTCTGCTCAGCTGCAGCTGCTGCTGCCCTTGCTGCTGCCCTCGCTGCTGCTGCTACTGCTGCTGCTGCTGCCTGTGCCCGCGGACGGCACGGAGCTCACGTTCGAGCTGAAGGACAACGCGAAGCAGTGCTTCTACGAGGAGGTGCAGCAGGGAGCGCGCAACACGCTCGACTACCAGGTGCGATGGTGGCGGCGTGGGCTCGTGGTGGTGGTTGTGGTGGCTGTTGTGGTGGTGGTGGTGGTGGTGGTTGTGGTGGTGGTAGTGGTGGTGGTGGTGGTGGTGGTTGTGGTGATGGTCGTGGTGGTCGTGGTGGTGGTGGCTGTGGTGGTGGTGGTTGTAGTGGTGGTAGTGGTGGTTGTGGCGGTGGCTGTGGTGGTGGTCGTGGTTGTGGTGGTGGTTGTAGTGGCTGTGGTGGTTGTGGCGGTGGCTGTGGTGGTTGTGGCGGTGGCTGTGGTGGTTGTGGCGGTGGCTGTGGTGGTTGTGGCGGTGGCTGTGGTGGTTGTGGCGGTGGCTGTGGTAGGTTGTGGTGGTGGTTGTGGTGTAGGGAGCGGTAGCGTAGCTGTTCGCGCACTGCGCCACGAACCAGACGAACCGAGTTCGATTCGCTGCTCGTGGCCACGAACAGCAGTGACGATTATCTCTGAGCCGGTCCTGGGCCTCCTCCCCGAGGTCGACTCAGCCTCAAATGAGTACCTGGGGAGACAAAGGCGGTCGGGTGGGGTGCTGGCCACCTACCCCCTCGTGTGCCGTGCCGGCCTTCATAGGTGCTAAACAGCACTTGCCCCAAGAGTCAGTTTAGGCTACACGGGGGATCTTTGTCTTGGTGGTGGTGGTCGTGGTGGTGTCACTTCAGAGGGGGTTTTCACTCCAGATGATGACGATGGCGATGTTCCGCGGGTGATGTTCTGTACGGAATTATTGGGTTATGAGTGGTGGTGGTTGTGCTGAGGGTGGTTACAATGTGTGTGTGTGTGAGGTGTGGAGGCTATTTCAATTTGGTGTACGTGTGTGGTTGTGAGATGAGATGTCTTTGTTTATTGCTTATCCAGGAGGGCCGATCGAATGACACATTAGCTGGCTTAAAATCTTGATTTGAAGCTTTCGTGACTGCAGGAATCCATACTCTTTGGTTGTTTCGGTAAAGTCACTTAGGTATTTTATACCTACGTGACTTTACTGGCTTAAAATGTCAAGTGTTAAATATGATTCACAATAGGTTTCCATCGCAACGCCCATACGTTTTGTTATTTAGCTAAATCCCAAGATGGGTTTGTGAATCGGGTATCTCGTGTCATCTCCCGATTGGTAGATACTGCTGCAGTGCTGTAGACTTTTGTCACCGCATGTAAAAAGTATTAATGTTATAGCGTCGCTCATAAGCAACGCAATGTGTGTATAAATTTACAATTCATAGTTTACATACAATGCTTCGGTTTTACTTGCTAAAACATTACATTCAATGTTCAGGCCTAGAGGGCCTGGAAAGGCAATTGGCAGTTCCTAAGAAGACCAGCTTGAACTAGGCCATTGTGAAACGGTAGCCATGAGGCACGGATTAAATTGGCAGTCGAAACCTGTCACTGGAAGGTGTGGACACTTGCTGCCCGCTTGTGGCATTTCCTATTCACCGTTCTTTGTTCATGTTTCTGTATCAAGAGTTGTACTGCACATTTGAGACTCCCCGCAGGGAGCAGTGCACCACAGTGTGTTTGACAATGAGCCTTGGGGATGTCCCACAACGATGTCGCTGTCTGTTTATGCCTACTAAGGGAAAATGCCTTTTACGTGCCCGGCAAAGAGCGTTCGTCACATGTCAAATGGACATTTTTGTCATTTCATACGTGGTGTTCTCAGTTGTGTCTCGAGTGTGCTATCAGCGTCAAGTTATGAGACGAATAATCTATTTGTATCTCCTGTAGAAGAGTCCATGAGCCCATGTTAGAGAACAGAACTGCTCTTCAAATGACCTTTTATCCACACTAGTTGGTAGAACTTGCGCAAAAGAGCGATGTTCATCACGTGACAAACCAGTACGTTTAATTCTCAAGAGTTCGAATTTATGCACGTTGAACTGAAAAACCCAATTTAATATGATGTCTTGATTTGAAGCTTTCGTGACTGCAGGAATCCATACTCTTTGGTTCTTTCGGTAAAGTCACGTAGGTATAAAATAAATAAATCACGACGTTTCGGGCGCAACACAAGCGTCCATCATCAGGTGGAAAAGCGTGGTCTGCTGCTGAGGCAGACTGTTTTATGACCCTTGCGCTACACCCATTTCAAACCTTTTTAAACAGTCTGCCTCAGCAGCAGACCATGCTTTCCCACCTGATGATGGACGCTTGTGTTGCGCCCGAAACGTCGTGCTTTATTTTATTTTATACCTACGTGACTTTACCAAAAGAACCAAAGAGTATTCATGTGATGTGTTTTTTTGTACAGCCATAGGTGATCAGGCTGCGACCATCAACATCACTGCACTTGAGAACTCTGTTTAATCGCAGCAGCCTGGACATACATCCATAATCTCAGCATTGCCAACTCAGCACTGTGATCCTTGAGCCTCCCACCCTCTTAGAAAAAATCCTTATTTTAATTCTTGTATTATGGGTTATGGTGCGGTTCAATGCTGACCCAGTTGAACCTGTCATCTCACTGAACTTGTGAATTAGATTTAATCACATGCAGCTGAATCACTATATTCAAACCCATGATCCGAGAGGTGCCCATGTCATTACTCTGACAGTCAGTCTTGGATTCAAAACCAGGACCCACAATGCCAAGGTGGTCAAGGGAAACATCCGTAAGGTCGAGCTGAGGTCAAACCCAGTGTCATGGCTGGTTAAGGCCAGGGGTCCGTTGCATAAAACAACTTTTAAGTACCACAATTGCCTTATATCCTATTTAAATCTGTGTCAAGGGATATTTTAGATTGAGGTTTTTATGAATATGAATCTTCGAGGTTGAAGCTATTGTCAAGGCTTTTAAGTCAGTTCTCGGACTGAGGCGAGTAACCCCAAGGCCAAGGACGGAAGCTGAGAAAAATTCTCGAGCCGGCCTCGAGAAAGCGAAAGACCGGTGCGGACCCAGTACCGCTGACATTTGATTGCACGTTTATTTGACGCAGGTGATCACGGGCGGGAACTACGACGTGGACTGCCGCGTGGAGGGGCCCACCGGCGAGATCCTGTACAAGGAGATGCGCAAGCAGTACGACAGCCACGTGTGGACCGCTGAGAAGAAGGGCATCTACGCCATCTGCTTCAGCAATGAGTTCTCCACCTTCAGCCACAAAACCGTCTACTTTGACTGGCAAATCGGGGACGAGAAACCCGTGGGCAAGGCCAGCACAAATGGAGCAGTCTCACTCACACAGGTGACAGCTGTGGAAGGCGACGTTCGTTAGATGCCAAACAATTATATTTCCTCAGCCTTCGCGACCCGATAAGTTGTCTTAATTTTGAATTACAAATTTATAAAAAATAAATCTGTTCCAGTTTTTTATGTTTTTATTCGATCGTCATCAAGGGCTTGTTTGTACTGTCTTGTATTTACTGTCTTGTTCTGTACATCTAGTCTGCCCTGTTAGTCTAGTTCTGTCCATATTGTTTATATTTTATCATTCTGTCTTGTTTTGTTTGTTCCATGAGCCTTAAGGAAACATTTGCATAAAACCTCCCTATATTGATAATAATCAGTTCTTGCATGCACGATGTGCTTTTATCTTGAGTGTGTGTGGAGGCAGTGGGGTAGTGGTTAGCTCCACACAGTCATGCCCTCCCTTCTCGATGCTTCTGAAATGTGGACTCCCCGAATGGAACATCTGCGCCGGTTAGAAACATTCAGGCTGGCCTGCCTACGATCTATCTTGGATTTAACCTGGTTAATGACCGGACACAGGAAGACTTCTTCTCAATTCTGGCAAATCGCCTAATGATGTTGGTTGTAATCACCAGCGAAACATCATACTCAAATTGTAAATATTGTGGGTTTACTCTCCAACACACCGGTGTGCTGAAGTAGTTATTAATTGAAGCTTTTAGTTTATGTGACAAACTTTACTAATTGGCTGTGTCGGGTGGTGGTTGGTTAATGACATTTACATTTACACAATCTAACCCAAAAAAAACTTTATTACGAGGTTCATGAAGAACGTTACTGGGTAGTTGGAGGCAGTTGCCCTCCAACAACAGCGGAGGGCAGAGGAGCGACACTCACAGCGAGCGGAGCTCCAGGTGGCTAAAACACAGCAAGTTGGCACAGTAGGGGGCACAGGTGGTGCATCTGCCAGTCATTTAAGTCAACCCATGGCACCTGGGTCTGTCCCGTGTATGTATGTTGAACTTCTTTTGCACAGTACGTAGCCAACCGTGCTAATCGGAGGTGCGGGGGAAGAACAACAAACTGCGACCTTCCAGCGGGCTTTTAAAACTTCACATGGCCTCAAAGTGCACATAGCCTGGCACATGCACCATGGTGACATTACCGCCACTTAGTGACAAATGGCAGTTGTTGTTAGGTCTGAACCTGTTGACTTAAGTTTAATTTCTGGCCATGGCAAACACTGGTAACGAGTGATATCTGAACCAGTCTTCTCCACAAGGATTTCTCTGCAACTCTGGCTGTCGCCTGATGATGCTGGTTGTAATTACCAGCGAGACGTACTCGAATTGTAAATGTGGGTTTACTCTCAAAACACCGGTGTGCTAAACTAATAACGAATTGGCATGTTTTGTTACCGTGACAAACCTTACTAATTGGCTGTGTCAGGTGTTGGCGGGTTTAACGATGCATCTATATCTACGCAATCTAACACAAAAAACCTCTTATGGGCAGTCTTACCGCTTCAACAACTCCTGCGCGGTAAACTTGAGTAAACAACCAAACCCCGTGACGAACACGGTGGATTGACAATGGGGCTGCAAAATCTTGTGCATAATGATTTGAATATATTGTCACATACTCTTTGGCTCTTTCTTTGTTTTATTTTAATAAATTCTAACTACGTGACTTTACCGAAAGAACCAAAGAGTATGGCTTCCTGCAGCCACGAAAGCTTCAAATGAAGATACTGTATTGTCACATTTCTAACATTAAACAGAAAAAAGTGTCTCCAGCTACGCAATCATTGTGCACATTAACCAACTGTATGTGGCTATCTGGTGCTCGTGCCACACTTAAGGTGTTGAGTGCTCATTCTTTTTTCCAATTTTTCAGTACGTGTCTCCTAAATGTTTAAAGTGCTGTTAGACACATCACACCAACGTTGTAGACGATTTTATGATGATTAAAATGAGACGTGTGCGAATGCCGGGTGATTATAGATTCATATTATTGACAATGGAAAAATCAACATTTTCCCGAAGGGAACGTTAATTATGAAAATGATTTGTTCTCCTGTGTAACCAGTACGCTTCATGAATCGAGTTACACTCGGAGACAGAAAGAAGAACATATGGAGCGGAGAAGAAATGCAAATTCGAGGCATATTGTTCAATGTTAAGATATGTGAGCTAGGGCATGTCACTTGAAAAGATGATGGCCAGTTGTTAAGACTCAACAGTGGCAGCCAAAAGAGGAAATGCATCTAACAGCATGTCCATTGTGGAAATGGAGCAATAAAATAATCTGTTTTGCATATGCTCGATGGATTGTTGCATCGGGAGGCCATGAGAGATGGCGATGACTGGAGGAGGCTTTCATCCAGTAGTGGATAGGTCGCGGCTGATGATGGTCCCATACGTGTGTTTATGCGTGCACGTGTTTTTCTCACTTCCCTGCCACCCCGCCTGCCCCCCACGCGACAGATGGAGTCGGCCTGCGTGACGATCCACGAGGCTCTCAAGTCGGTCATAAGCTACCAGACGCACCACCGGCTGGAGGAGGCGCAGGATCGCTACCAGGCGGAGCACCTCAACTCGCGTGTCACGCTGTGGTCGGTGGGCGAGACGCTCATGCTGCTCTCCGTGGTGGTCGGGCAGGTGATGCTCCTCAAGAGCTTCTTCGCGGACAAGCACACGGGCTCCTCGCGGGTCGGCCTCTAGCCCCGACGCGGGGCAGTGCACCGCTCGCTAGGCCGCCCGCACCATTTTGTAGCCCAAATGGCTTATTAAAAAAGTTAAATGTAATGATAATTTTGTTAAATAGGTCTTTTTTGAAGAGCCAAAACATGCATTTTCCAAAAAATAGTTGGCTGTGCTGTTTAGCGCTGCTTTTGTTTGGCTGTCAGCCTGCTTTGGAAACTAAGCCATTGGCTTTGCTCAAAGGTCTGCAGAAAATGTAACATGGGTTATAGTGGTGTCAAAAACTAGAAGGACCGAGTGTGTGTGGTGTAGAGAAGCGCTGATGGTAATATTCATCGCAGTGCCTCCCATACCATGCTCTGGAGGCACATTTACGTAAACACCAACCGAATGGGATACAACGTGGCTGCTGTGGAATATTAAAACGTGTGTGTTGTAGTCACGGCACAGCTGTTGCATTCACTACTAATTTGTGTAAAGGATGGCTATAAATGTCACTCTGTTTGCACTATTTGCTGTTCATCTTACATCTTGGAACGTTGACCCACTGTTTAAATTTTTGGCTGTGAGAAGTCAATAAGTTATTATTTAGAGGTTAACTTAAACAAATATTTATGTTTGCATTTTAAACATGCGTAGGAGTCCCTCGAGTTCCCAGCCAGATGCGGTAGTTAAATAAGTTGCATTGGCTAAAGATATTGGTGGACAAAACTTTCGTTTGCAGTATATTACCAGCATGTTTTGATTTTGTTGCCAGGGTTGTGATATTAAATGCTTGTATTATTTGGTGTGTTCTATTTTACATAGTTTTGTGAGTGTGGAATTTAGCGGTTTAATATTGATGTATTTTAATTTGGTCAATGTTGTGTTTTCTCCGTGATATTTTGATAGGAAGCTTTTATTTGGATTTGATTCGCGGACAGATTTCCACTTTCTAATTTTCCCGGTATAATTCCAAATTATGAACGTCGCTTATGTAATGAAATTCACATTTCAGACAACAGTTTTTACATTTCGCATTTGCAATGTTGACATTCATCAAAGGTTTGGCTATATTGGCGAAAATCTGACTCATCTTTCTGCAAAGCATTGTGACCTTTTTATCAAATGTCAACAGCCCTAACACGACCTTAAAAAATGCTTTATTCTGTTTCATATGTTTGGGTTTTGATCACAGCAAAGGTCACTCTACTGCTCCTTGCTACTGAGAGAGAGCTCATTGTACTTCGCAGTCACCTTTGATGTTTGATGGCATTATCATGGCCATGGCTACAGTGAGTGACCCAGGTGAATTTCCTGGTGAATTTGGTGAAACCGGTAATAAAGGTGCTTGTCAATGGGCGTTACACTCCTCCTGTCAATCGGCCGTGGAATGCAGAGCACATTCACCAGGGCCCAAGTTGATGAATGAAAGAATACATTTTATTGATTTAAAGCAAGGGTTATGTTTTCAAGAAAAATATCATATCTCATGATAAAAAAAAACCTGGATCTTCGTCCACCATCTCCGAAAAATAATATGACACGCTCACCGTATATAAAAACGCTAGTTGGTTGGAGCGAGTGGGTAATGTTTAAATATTAAATATGTTCACGTTAACACATCAGATGGCTTGTGAGCGACCATTTGCTACACTAATCAGCTGGGGCGAGTTAGCACCCAGCTTGGATCTCCACAAAAGGGACAATTAATTACGAAAGTCGTTTGAGTGGTTTTTTGGCTATTTATGTTAAATAACTCTTTTGGTACTGTGCAGTTACTGGATGCTGCTTATGTAGCATACATAAGCATCTTAACCACAACAGCATTCATTGTTGCCTCCAACCCAAACCCATGCTCAAGGTGCACCCTGACACAAGCCCAGTGTTAGATGCCCTCTAGTGCTCAGACATCGAAAGCATCCCGAAGAAAGACATCTGGGCCTAATTGGGTTGAGGTTCATCTCGAGTGTAAGCCCAAATATCTGTTGCACTGTCGAGCTGAGCAATAAGATGCATTGTGGTCAATTGAAGTACTGTAAAATGTACCATGTCAGCAGATAACCTGTGTACTGTACTCTCAGAGTGCAAGTAAAGTTTTGACACTTCTATTACTGTGTTAAGATGCTTTATTGGTCTGCTGTGTAAAATATACTTAGAGTAGACACTCAACAAAACAGTACTGTCATTGTTAAACACAATCCATACACTTAGATATCCAAGACCAAAGACCGTTAACATGATTCCGATATAATTTTTAACAAGATTTATAAATAACCTACTTGTGTTATTAATTTTAAGTGTTTCCAACAGCTCTGCCCAGACCCAGCTTTCAGGTTAACTTTTCGACCCAACTATTGTTTCATGGGTGATTTGTAAACCTGTGCCCTCGGTCAACAAAGTGCCTCGTACAAAAACAAAGTTCCTTCTACACTCTCGCATCTCTTCCAATAATACACTAGGATACCGCATTGCACAGTCCCACACGTTCCCAGCACAGCAACGCAACCCCTTCCCCTTTCTCTCAATAGCCACGCATTTTACATTTCGTATGCGAAGATATCTTTTAAGGTTACAGAAGGATATTGCAGGGGTGGTCACGTTTCGTTCCCGGATTAAAATCGGGAGTTGCCTAGTCACCAGATCCATCTCCGTGCGTGAGCAGCAGCTTCATCTGCTCCACCTGCATGGAGTGGCGCCTTGGGAATTTTTTCTTGCCCTTCACCTCTTGGTGGCTCGGCGAACAGGGCAGCGTCGGCACCCCAGGTTTGACCGAAATCTGCGGTTGTTTGCAAAATCCCGGGGTTGCCTCGGAGGTGCTCGCACTAGCAGTTGGAGTCACGCTGATGGGTATAGGAGGCAGGATACTGGGCCGACTGTGCGACAGTTGCTCCATGAGGACGTTCGCACCACCGGACCCTCTGCGCTCGGTGCTCGCAGCGACCAGAGACATCTGTTCCGCCGGGAACCCAACTCCACCAGACCCCCGCCTCTCGCCGCTCGCTGGAGCCATCGGTGGCCACCAGCCATCGAGCGAATCACGCGAGCTTGACATGTGCCGTTTCCTTTGCTCCATCGCAAATCTCCCCGCCAAGGTATGTATTGCCATCGGCTCCGCCTGCAACTGCGTGTCGGAATGGTAGTGGTTAATGCCCAGCTGTCTCTGCCGCAGGATTTCTTGCAGGCTGCACACGGGTGGAAGCGTCAGGGTCTCTGTGAGTTCTTCCATGGGAAGGGTGTTCCTTCTCGCCATCTGCGGCGACCTGTGACACATGGACGACGCTGCTCTGCTGGAAGGCGGCCGCCTCTCGGCCGTGTATGTGCCCAGAAAGGTGTCGTCCGCCACATCCATGCTGAAGTGTCTGGCGAGCACGCTCGACCTGCTCGTGAGCAAAGAGCTAAAGCTGGAGGAGAGTTCCTCGTCCAGAGACACGATCGCCTTCTTTGCGTCCTCGCCATGAGCCACCGTCTTTTGTAGCTGCGGCAGCAGCTTGGGCGTTCCGCAGTGCTTCGGTGTACCCTTCCTGCCGCAGACGCCGGCTGCCGGGAGGCTCATCAAGGACTCGTCCTCCGTTGCGGTGGCCAGCGAGTTGGAGAACGTGGGCCGCAGCTCGATGTCGGAAGGGGACATCACCGGGGCGAACCGATCGTCAAAGTCCGCGGGCGAAGGCGGCACGTTGAGATACTGCTTCGTGGTCTTGCCGCCCGAGGCCGACTTGTCGGTGGTGATGATGATCACGTCCTTACCCTTGGCCTTGCAGGCGTCCAGCAGCACCTTGAGGGTGTCTTTGTCGTCCGTGTTGATGGCGTAGACGAGGGCCGAGGCTCCCGAGCGGTCCTCAAGGCTGGGGTCGGCGCCGCCGGCGAGCAGCAGCTGCGCCAGCTCGGCGCCGGCTCCGGCGATGCACGCGTGCATGAGCGCGCTGCGCCCGCACTTGTCCTGGATGTCGGGGTCGGCGCCGTTCTCCAGCAGATAGGCCACCATCTTGGCCTTGGCGGCGCTCTGCGCGTCGGCGTGCCGGCTCGTGCAGGCCACCATGAGCGGCGTCTCGCCGCGCTCGTTGCTCTCGTTGATGTAGGCGCCACCCTCGAGTAGGAGGCGCGTCAGGCGCAGGCGGCCGAGCAGCACGGCCCTGAGCAGGGTGCTGCCGTCCGTGCGGATGCCCCCGCACTCCTCCATGTTGCTGCAGCCCCCCCTCGCCCCACCCGCTGGGATTAGTCTCGCCGTGCGGTGGCCGGGCCGATGGGTGTGCGTGTGTTGGTCGCCAGGGGTGAGCTGTGTCGGTGGTGGGTAGTTCACTGTTGCGGATGATAAAAGCAGCAAATATGCATGTGAACAAGACCGATGTGTGAGTGCAAGCCACCGTCATGAGATCGTTTATAGATCGTCATCACAATCTATACATTTTCCAGAAATGTGTATCATCCATCCATTGTCTGTCAATCACCCATGATCCATCCATTATTCATGATCCACTCATGATTCAGCAATTGTCTGTCATCCAACCATTACCCAGCATTCATCCTTTATCGAGCAATCATCCATCCATCATCCAACAATTTCAGTAATAATCATCAAGCATGATCATCTATCCATTATCATCTCATCACAATCATCATTAAATATAAATATGATACTAAATAGTTGCTTCAGGTGCCAAGCCACAGTATTCCCCTTTAAATGTTCAATACTTTGAAACCAATCTCTGACCTTCAACAAACTACGTAAGTTTAATAAATCGCAGTAAAATCTTAATCACAGTGAAATAGCACTTACGTGGCTTAAACATGTTGGCTATTTTTGGTCATTTATTTACTGTTCATGGTTAGCTTCTTAAATTAATATTTATATTACGTTCATGCTTAACTGTCTTTCACAAAGTCATCACGAGATTTAAAAACATTTATATGTAGAACCTGAATAAACAGTCATGACAGAGGAGGGCACGTGAACTGTCGTGCGAGTGAGGCTTTGCATGTCCAGGGAATGCGCCCTCTGGGTCGTTCTTTCTCCCCAAACAGGGGCTAGTTACCCTTCCCTGTTCCGAGACGTCTGCAAGTTGTAGGGTGGGTTGTCCCGTTCACCGCTGAATCTCAGAACGCGCAAGTGGTTCAGCTTTAATTGTGTTTAGTGAGGCATAGCACTGTTGTTTTTAAAGAGAGTGTACTCACCGCAGAGAACTGTAGCGACACGACCGCACTATAAGATAGCTGGAGCCAAACTGTGCCACACGCCCTCCCCCATGGCCTTGTGGGAGCCTCGGTCCTGATAAAGTTGTTTTATTTTCGTTTTTTTAACGAAAAATTGATGACATACGTCATCGCAACGGGAAAGGGTATGGTGTAACGGGTTCCATTTCTAACTAAGGGTGGGATCTGTAATTAGTTTATTAGCAAAACCGCAATGTGGAAAAGCAATATTTTTCGACAATTTTATACGTTTCGCTGGAGATGACATCCAGGATCATCGGATGACAACAAAAACTCAGCTCCCACGCCAGAGCTGAGTTTTTTTTTATTTTGAAAATTTTAAATCATACATCCATAACACTCTAACCCACTAAACACTAATTATGAATCATAATATTGAAAGTGAAAGTTTACGTATGAAATTAAGCCATTGGGGGTGGATATTATGAAAGTTAAAATAATTCATGAGCAATAATTATAATCACATCCTAGTGGGCGTGTGATCAAAACAGTTGTACATAAGCTCGGCAGCTGTCCAATATAAGCACCATCTTCGTATATCTAGTTTAAATCGCCCATTGGTCAAAAATAAAAACATAAAAATAAAAATCGGATAACATGTTTCCTTTTACAGCGCAACAAAAACGAGTGGCCTCGGTGGCCAGTCATGCACAGCCAGGCTCTCTGATTAGCCCTAATTAATTACATTTGGAGACAATTTAAATGGGAAAGGGCCAGACACAGCTCTGCGTGGTGTGTGTGTGGTGTGGGTGCGTATGTGGTGTGTGTGTGTGCGTGCCCTTTCTGTGTCCTCGTGCAGCCACGGTCACCACTTTCGAGTGGCCGACCCGAGTCCCCAATTCGCGCGCTGTGAGTCTCGACCACCGAGTTTGGCAAACATTGCTCACACCTACGCGCTGTTCTAAACACACTGCGCTCTGTGGGCCTGGTTTAACACGTCCGATATTCTTTCTCTCATGCTTTTTATTGCTCATTCGTGCCAACATCTTCATTACCAACGAATGCGGAAAGACTGCCAAGACCGTGTGTTTTTGGCTGTTTCAGCTATTTGTGAATCTGGCCACGAGAGTGAACATGTGTAAGCTTGACAGATGTGACAACCAGCAGTAGTTCCATATATAAATCGTCATATCGTGTGTAAGCCTGTACAGGGCACCCTAAATCTTACGTTTGAATCATCACAATACGGCACATGTATTGTCTACCTTTATCTGGAGCAAATATAACTATGCATTTCTCAAACTTTCACCTTACAGATATTGTATTAAATATGCACATACACAGCTCCATAATGTCTGGGGGTGGGGACTGTAGGTGCTGAAGGCTCAACCTTCTTAATTTCTTATCGTCAAGTCAAAAATCGTGGGTACAATAATCCAACGCCAGTGGCAGTTTATCCTCAAAGTTTGCCAGGTCGTCGATCACCCATATCCATAAATTAAATGTGCCCGTGCATGTCTGTTTTAGTGAATCGGCAAACGCGGACTCATTCTGTAAGTGTTTGCAGTAGCTCTGCAATAATTTGAGGGGGCAGGACAAAATGTAAACAAAATGTAAACATAGATCAAATCGTTACTCGTTCTGATGAACGTTTTGCATTTGTTTAAACCTGTTTAACATTGCCTCTGTCGTGCCCCCACCCCCCCCCCCCCGTTTTTGGAGAGCCCCCCGTTTAAGCAAGCTCATACAACAGGATTGTACATACACTCAAATCTGCTGGTGTGTGTGAGTTGTATTGAGTGCTGGAGGTGAGTAGGTGCCGTTACCTGCTGCCTTGTGGGAGCCGTTGCAGGGAGAACTCGCTGGAGGTGCAGGTGCCCAGCGCGTGCCCCGCTCGATGTGTAGCGAGACCACTCGCCCAGCTGACAGCTCACGGTCTAACACCACATCCGTGATGAATAATAAATATACCCACCTTCACACGCTGTCACGATAGCGCTGCCAGGTGATGACTGTGGGTGACGGGAAGGGGCTAAGCGTATCAACGCGACACACGCTTAAACCGAAGACAGCCAATTAACCCATGGCCTCACTCAGCCCACAAACTCAAATATCTCATGGCCTCAGATAACCCATGGTCTCACTCAAGTAATGGCCTCAAACATTTAATGCCTTCAAACAACACTGCTCGAATTAATGTATTACCTAAAATATCTCAGGGCTTCAAATAACCCATGGCCTCACGGAGCTAACGGATCTAAATATTTAATTACCCAAATTTACTCATTACTTGAATTAACAGTGCGAAATATTTCATGACCTCAAATAACCCATGGCCTTGCTCTGACAATGCCCTCAAATATTTAATGACCTCAAATTACCCATCTCTTGAATTAAATCTCTACCTACAATATTTTATGACTGCAAATATCCCATCGTTTCATTCAAACACAAACTCAAATATCTCATGGCCTAAAATAGCAGATGGTTTTACTCAGGTAATGACCTCATAGAGTTAATGGCCTTAAATCAGAATGGCCTCAAACGACTAATGTCTGAAATTAATTCACGACGTAAAATATGTAATGGTTTCAAATATCCAGGTTTTCATTAAATTCTAAACTTAAAATATCTCATGGTTTCATATAAACCATTGCCATACTCGTGTAATGGCCTCAAATATTTCACAGCCTCAAAGATTTTTTTCTTCGATTCATGACCTAAAATATCTTATGACCTCGAATAACCTGTGCCCTCAATTAATGGCCTCATGTCTTTTGGCCTCAAAAATCCATGGTGTCTCAAAACCTCACTGAGATTCATCTCATAGCATGGCTCCATTCATCTGCTGTCCTCAAGTAATCATCGCCTCCATCATTTCACGGTCTCATGGAACTCAATATTTCCTATAACCCACCTCGCCCTTTAACGAACGATCTGAAATATATACCTCTTGCACTATTGTTAGGTCTGTTTCGGTTTCTTAATTTAGCCAACGTTTGCCAATATGGCTCCCTAATTTGTTGGGGCATTAGCCACAATCCACTCAAATCCCTGTGTGGGTGGATAAAACGAATACCACTATTGGGAAGTCAAATGCGGTTGTCCTATGGATATACTCGCCCAGCCATAGGAATGTAGAATTTCTGCCAGTAACTTCAGATCTATAAACGGGATATGAGCACCAATCCCTCAATGTTCATTTGAGTAGAACACAACTGATTTTTGTGTTGCAAATAAACACGGGTTATCTCCTTAAGACCGGAAGCAGGTGGATTGCTTCACTATTCTGGAAAATCGCCCAATGATGCTGCATGTAATTACCAGCGAAACGTCGGACTCAAATTGTAAATACTCTATTGGTTCATCTTCTTGGTTCTTTCGGTAAAGTCACGTAGAAGGGAAGTAATAAAATAATAAAAATAAAACATAATAAAACAATTCTCACGACGTTTCGGCCACAACGCAAGCAGCCGTCCTCAGGTGAAAACCAGGTCCGTCGAGGCGACAGAGTCTGAATGAAACAGCACACGAGCTTGGAGCATATATATAAGCTGGGCGCATTGACAAAGGAATTTGCATATCAAAAGGAATTTAGCATATTTATGGGAAATGCAGGAATGTGATTAGTACTGCATATGCATGTGCATTATGCAGGATTAACAGCATCAAAGGGAGCTGCAGTTACTGCTGCTGCAGCCGTTGCTGCTGCTGCTGCAGTTTCTGCTGCTGCTGCAGTTGCTGCTGCTGCTGCAGTTGCTGCTGCTGCACTTGCTGCTGCTGCTGCACTTGCTGCTGCTGCTGCAGTTGCTGCCTTATCCATTTTAATATAACACTATGTATTATTCTACCCACCCTAATGTGTATCATACTGCTATATGTTTACTGTACAATTACGACACCATACATTACTCTGCACACTGCACCATGCCAGTGAGTGGAACGCGGTCTGAAAGTCACCGTAAACGTGAACACAATCAGTTAAGATCCGAAATGGTTTATTACGTCCTTCCAATGATTGCTAAGCCA